AATATCGAAGACGCAACAAGTGATACCACGGTTATATTAAGTCAGTTTAATTGTTGTTTTACTAAATTACTAAAATTTACACTTTTTTTGTTAATATGAACTTGATAATATATCACAGAACAGATCATAAGTTATATACGGCATATAAGTATTTTAATATAATATCAAAACGCAACATTTCTTAACAAGTCTTGACTTTAAATTAAAAGAGTGTAAAAAATAATCAATTGTGTATTTTACCGTTCCGAGTACGTAAGTTTCTTTAAAAAGTTTTGCTAAAAAATGCTTACATAAGTACCTTGATTATTTGAAAGAATTAGAAAATCATGTGACAAACCAATGAACGACCAGACACAATATGCGAAGTCTTACTTGAAGATATGTATTTTATTACGTACCTGCAAACAACAGTAATAGGTCCTTTGTGTTCTTCCCAGCAATCTTTTACATTTTTTAAAAGATCTAGTAGAATGTTTGTTGAAAGCATTGCATCACTTGTGGTGTTTGATTTGTTTGTTGTAAAAACAGTTGTTTTCCTCTCACCTTGATTCTGAAGAAAATATAATTATATTGCTGAAGTAAAATATTGAGGTCCAAGTAAAAACAAAGTATCATGATAGTAAAAAAATGTATAACAAAATACCAATTTCCAAGGTAAATAAAAAAAGAATAGTCAATGAAAAAGACAAATTCGAACATCAATAACCAACGAAACGAGTGAAAAAACGACTTTCATATTCTTAACTTTATACAGACATTTTCCGAAGTAATGTAATGTTTGTGATAAATGAAAATAACACTTTATAAATTTCATTTTTCTGGATTTAAATTCATCAGTTTTGCTCACACGTAAGTATCTGAAAGCCATGGATTTATAAATACGTTACAACGTCAGGAGCTTTTTGACCAAAAGGGACATAAAAAGAATAGCCATTCATCTAAGGTCAAGGTAAATTTAATGAGAGAGAGAGAGAGAGAGAGAGAGAGAGAGAGAGAGAGAGAGAGAGAGTCTTGGTCTGATCACAGTTTTTTCTTCTGAACATTTGTTTCACTTAAACATTGAATTTATATACCTGTTCCAACTATGAACTAACTTTGAATATTGTTCATAAAAATTACTTCTGTAGAACAAGATATCAATATTTAGGAAATAATATAAGAATAAAAACAAGAAGTAAAATATATAAGTAAAATTTTCCATGATTAAAAGAGACATTGTTAATTTATTCTCCATTCCTTCATTCCACTTTATTGGTGTTATACCACTAGTAATGACAATCATGATCATTTGTCTATGCACCTTTGATACCAAAATAAAAATGTCTAACCTCGCCATATGTTCATTTGATTGTCCAACATCCGGAATCTGTAAGTGCTTGTTTTTAATTATGTGGTTATGGTTTTTTCCTGAATGATTATTGGATTTTACACGAAATGAAGATGTTAAAAAAGTGATGCCAATATCGCAACTGACTCCTAGGAGTCCTTGCGATTTGTGACTGGTTTTGTTATTTGCCTCAATGATGTTATTCAAACATCTCCTATATATTTTTTTCAAGTTGGACAACATGACATTTTTTTCAAAAGCATCAATGATAGAACAAACCAGTCTAACAAAGAATTAACCGTTGACCAGTTAAGAGGATAGACTTTAATGTTCAGGGTTCTTGTTGCCTACTCTTTATTTTGATATGTAGTGATTTGTTTTTGTCATGAAATTATTAACCAATGTGTGCATATGGTGCTTCAAATAACCTTCGTAACAATTTTTTATATGCATGTGTAATACCACGGAAATATTTGGCGTTTAATTGTATCACAACTGATAAGTACATTGCAGAAAATGCCTACTATGGCAAGCACTTTGTGTAACTCTTTCCAGTTGTTATGAATTTATCATTGTTTTTATTATCATTTTGTGTAATTGTGGACCATCAATTAACTATATGTAAATATATATTCACCTCATGCTTCAACGTAAGCTGCAGCTCATCTGAATTGGATGCGTTGTCTTGCACAATAGTGAATTGCTCAAACCCCAGCACTTTCTGGCGTCCTAACCACAAAGGAGCATTCTAACAGAAATACAATTTAAATTTTAAACCATTTTTTTTTATTTAATCCACAATCAACTAAATATTGATAATATTATATTATTGAAAAATTGTATTAACTCATGAAAGAATTATCGAACTGAAATAGTGTTGTTTTGTTATAAATTAGGCCGTCAGTTTTTGCAATTGAATTTGTTTCATATTTGTCATGTCGGGGCGTTTATAGCCGACTGTACGGTATGGGTTTTCTCATTGTTGAAGGCCGTATGGTTGCCTATAATTGCTTACATCCACTTCATTTTAACTTTAATGTATAGTTGTCTCATTAGCAATTGTACCACATCTCCTTATTTTTTAAAGCATATACACCGAAAAAAGATTATTTTTAATATCTTTGATAATATTTTCAAAAACTTTCCAAATGTTTGATTTAAATTATATCTTTACTGGTTATTTTCCTGGTAATACATTTGTGATATGTGACCAGATTGACTTATGTAAGAACAGAAAAAGATATTTCATAATTGTTTATTTTACTCTTGATAAAATATCCAAAAAGTTATCCTTACATTGTAGTATTCTATATGCCTATATATATATCCCCTAGTCAAGTAAGATTAGCATACCCTGTTAAACTGGTCCAATAAAACAACTATTTCAGATTCATGGTCATATACCATTGTCCAAAAATCAACAACAGTTTCCTCTAGAGGACATTGTGTAACTAAAAGCTTACTCTTCTCTTCGTATCCCTGTGAAAAAACAAACAACGTTTTTAATAGATTTTAAACAAGGAACAGACCATGTTTGTGAAGAAATGTAAGTAAAATTCAAGTTTGATTTGATTCAAGAAATCAAGCAGACTTCAGTTACAAATATTAAAGAACATGTAAACTTATGTGTGTTTTCCTACAATTTTATGCCAACAAAATACCGTATTTCACTTTAAAAATGCACAGATTAGAAAAACGAAATATTTATTTTTATGATATAACTGTATAGTGCTGTTTTTCTTAAATTCCAGAAATTGCTATCGTCATATAACTATGTGATATACATATCAGCCTATATATACCATGTTCTGGGCGATTCTTCGAGCACTTTCAGTGAACTAATATCAGCATGAATACCATGATAAATATTTAAACAAAAGAAATACTTGTTGGTATATTCAACTGAAATTACGATTGAAATAACCATTCGTGGAATATTTTGTAAGATTCACAATCAACTACAATAACGTTTCTGTTGGCCTCTTTGTCAGATTTATTTGTATATTTGTTTGCATTTTTCAGTTGTGTTGTATGTATACATGTATGATGTATGTTAAAGCAATTTTGGCTGACAAATCCCAATTATTGACGCATTTATCAATTATGCCTACCAGGGTTACTAAGCCAAATTTGTCAATATAAGGAGACTATAATTAACTGTCATAAAAGTAGGATGTTTAGCTAGCTATACAAACAGTTTTGTCCCACCATTATCTTATGAAAATGCCTGTACAAAGCCAGGACTATTACAATTCTTTTTCATTCGTTCCGTTGGTTGAAATAGTCTAACGTTTGATTTTGTCAGTTTTTAAAGACTTCCCCATTTTTGAATTTACCTAAGGGTTTGGTTTTTTGAAAACACTTTTTTAGTACAATGTAACAGTTATTAATATTCATTTCGGATTTTTTTATTTCTATATGTAAGTATGATATGTTCTGGAATCTTACAACTATTGAACAACAACTCTTTTTGATCACTCAGACACTTTACATACGTGTAACAAGAGGAATAAAATATTTACATGTATACAAACAATACAACATAATGGTGGGTATGAGAAAAAAAAGAATGCATTATTAAAGAGTCAATTCACAAAATGTTTATGAGGTGATGATAAATTGTTTTAAACCTTTTCATTACAAAGTGTTATTCAGCCTTTCATTTTTTGATAACTTGGATATCGAGTATTGATATAAAGTGTGACAAAATTAGAACTTACTGGAATAATCACTGCGTTAATGTAATCATTACGTGTTTTACCATATGACATTAAATACGGTCTATACCTGTCATCTAAACAAAATAAAATATAACCATTACATCTTAATTTAAAAAAAAATCCGTTATGCTTGAATTTATCTGTTTTTGTATTTTCTCTCTTTATTTTAACGGTAAAACATACGAAAGGTATAAGTTTATTGGTTCTTATTCAAAATATGAGCAATAGATGTTTACTGAAATACTTAGGAATTTATATCGTCCAAAGAATTCTGAAAAGAACCGCAAATTCTCATTTATATATATAGTCAATTTTGCACGAGTGAGTTGCAAATGAAAAACAAAACATAACAAAAAACAATCCGTTCAAACCGGTGCGAGGGGACGTCTTGACTTTGCATTGAGGTTAAATTTGTTGGTGCATATTGAAAGCCTTACTGTACTATAAACAACAACAATAAAGATAATAAAAGCTCTGTTTGGGTTTCGTATTTTCATTTATGCAAAGTAATATTGTAGGGTGAATTGATACACCATATCTTTCTTTTCAAATACAAATTCATCAACTCTTATTTTCATGGAAACACACAGACAAACTCGATGAAAATTAAAACGTTCATATGCAAACCAATTGTATTCAGGAATCTGACCAAATAATAACAATTATGCTGAAACATTCATTTGTCATGTGGAACAAACAAATCTTTTGTTGACGCAAGTTTGATATATGCAATGTTATGCATATTGCAATAGGATGAACGTTTTCTCATTGGGAAGCATCAGTCACATGTTGAATAGGCAGTCCATATATTTGTAGCCTTATACTTTATGTATATCGACTTACGTCGTTTGAAGTCACATATACATAAACTGTCTTTATATTTCATACTACATGTTAAACATATTTCCGCGCCAACAATAATTATTGGATTAAAAGAAATTACGATTACTTACGTGGAAATATTTTCTTTACAGAATTTTTGTGAATATTTTCTTTTGATGTTCCAGCAGTATATGCTGATTGAGGATTCAAGGGTCGCAAGGCTTCCAATCTCTAAAATTAACATATACGTAAATGACAATTAGTTTTGAAAGAAGAGATATATGGTCGAAAGTTCTGATAAAGAACAGTACATACACGCAATGCCCGTAGATTATTAAGTCGTAAGTTTAAGTGGACACCATAACTGCTTGATTTAAATTTGGAAAAAAAAATGGTTTTAATATATATTATAGAATAATATTAACAATACCAATTTTTATTGCACTAAATGCGCATTTTGACACTTAATGCATCTCCTCCAGTGATGCGATTCTTGATTAATATTAAAAGTTGATTCTGGTAAAAATAATTCATAGTCACCGATCGTTTCTTCAATCCTATTTTAAATACCGTAGCAAATTTTTAATCAATTCAACATACTTTTGCTTATTCACTCAAAATGAAGGAGTATACCTGGAATTGTAGTTTATACATATTCTGATTTCGTGGTAAAGTTTTATGTTCTTGATCCGAAATGTATTTACAGAAATCATTCTTCGGAATTGACGTTTCTGGTACAGTAAAAAGTTCTAATAAGGCTTCAAAGACTGCTTCATATTGTTCCTGCAATTTAAATTGAACAGATTTAAACACAACCATTTCAAAAGTATCATGTGTAATGGCTGTTACATTGAAAAGGTGTTTTAATGATTTTGTTTATGACGTTATTTGTGCGCGCATACACTTGTACAATTGTTAAATTTGATTTTTCTTCTGGCAAACGAAAAATTAGGAGAACATACTTATTCAATTAGAAACCTTAATGAATGAACCCTTTATTTACGTATATGTTTTTTCAGTAATGTAATTTGTCTTTTTACAATCATTGCTCACTATATAAACTAGAAGCTCTAAAGAACATGTGTCGCTCACCTTTGTCTATGTGCATATTCAACAAAGGACACTCTCCAACATTGTAGACGAGAAAAGAATTCATGACAAAAATCTGTTTTGTTGATCTTGTATTGTTGACCATTTAGTGTGTTTACTTTCTCTCTATCTTCTTTAGTTTTTGCTTAAAACACAAAAGAGGGTAAACAAAAATCCTCATTTAAGGGCAATCACTCCTATAAAGAGTGACAGTCTACTTACTATATCGGCAAAATTTGACTTGCTGATCATTTTTGTGATTCAAAGTTTCTGTTTATCTATTATAATGTTTGTCATATCAGCAAAATACATCACAAATGGTGAAAATAAAGGGCAATTACTCCAATAAGGAGACGTCGGACGATTTCCTCCATCTGTCTTTAATGTAGATCTTGTCTTGCTGATCATTTTTGCTTAGTTAAGTTTCTATCTATGACAAATTATGTATTATAATTTTTAAGATATAAGGCAAAAAACGCAAAAAATTGATGAAAATCGTCATCAAAGGGCAATAACTCTCGACTGACGATTTGGACCATTTTACTTATTTATAGAACTTATCTTGCTGATCATTTTTGCATTTTCAAGTTTCTCTTTATTTAGTATAGTTTTCAAGATAATAGACAAACATGAAAAAAATTGTAAAATTTGTCATTTAAGGGCAATAACTCCTAAAAGAAGTATAAAGACAATTGGTTGAGCTCAACATTCTGAAAATTTTTGTCCCCCGTCAGAATTTCTCTATTTATAACGGTTTTCAAAATATTAGTTCTATTTTTAGCCATGTCGACCATCTTAGTCGGCAGGCGGGGTCATTGGACACATTTCTAAAACTAGATACCCCAATGATGATTGTGGCCAAGTTTGGTTAAATTTGGCCCAGTAGTTTCAGAGGAGAATATTTTGTAAAAATTAACGGACGACGATGGACGACAGACGACGGACGACAAGTCATGAGAAAAGCTCACTTGGCACTTTATGCCAGGTGAGCTAAAAAGGATTTCTAGGTGATTATGCATTAGAGCATTACGATGAATACGCGTTTCTTGTTTAAGACTGCAACCAAAATAATACCATGTCTTATCAGGCAGAGTTCCTTCATTTTAATCAATCTGAAATATTCTGTTTTTCTAAAGACAGTAGTAATAACATTAACGGTACTTATACACTTGTATTGCACCAGATACGCATTTCGACAGTTAATGTATCTTCAACTATGTTTGTATTAGAAATGATTTAAAACTGATATATTTAGATAAAATTACATTGTTATCTTCTTTCGTTGAATAGAAGTACAAATAAATTGCATTGTGGCCACAAAATTTGAATATTTCTTTAAAATTTAGACCGATTGTTTTCTGTAACCACCTTAGATGGAAGAAAACCATTATAAACCGTAACTTGACCCAAAAAGGTAAATTTGGTTAATCCCACCTCTTACGTTATTTATTTATAAAGTGCAAATGTATATAAATTCACATTCCTGTCCGGTGCACATTTGATCGATAGCAGTTTAATTCGGAAAACACAACACAGTAACTAAATTTTATTATTTATGATTCATGCTTGTCAGTTCACATTATGTTTAGTTTTTTTTTTGGCTCTATGACGTTTTATCTACTTCCAGATCTTGTGGATTAAAGGACAATTGATTAAGACCATTTAAGAATAATCTTCATGAATGCTTGATAGAGTAGTATTACATTTGTAGTTTATACCAAATTGAGTTAGATGAGGCACCTGTTGGTTGCTTTCAAAGCATTCATTTATGATTTAGCCTCAATACTTCATATCCAATATAGATCGCACGTTTGACTGAATGTGTTCCAGTCTTTTGCTGTGTGGTTCAGAAATTATTTTAAGACATTTTTCTGCGTCACTGTTTTTTTATTTTCCCTGTTTTTATTAAGTACGTACATTGTCATAGTTAAAGATTGCACATCTTATTTTTCTATCAATTGTTTTATGTGATTTATAGTACCCCACTTAATCGTAACCCTGTGCGGACAAAAAAAAACCCATTAACAATACATTACAATTAGACATTTGTTTTAAACAGCACGCCAAATAAGACAGGATTAATGCTTAGAATGTTATAAATGCCTCCAAATTTTGTTTCGATGAGATAAAAGTCTATTGTAATATTTCTTAAATTATAAACGTGGAATACTTATGCTCAATTCATGTACGTTCATAACTCCATAGTGAATGTGATTTCGATGTAACATGTCGTCATTAAACGAATCAATAGCAAAGGACTGTAGCAATATGGGATTCTTGGAGTGTCTTTCAAACTTTAGTACATATATCGGTCTATCTACAACAGTTATACCTACATATGTTTGGACCATATTCATTCTGTCTTTCCTCATTATCTCGATACATTCCATAACATTTACGTAACCAACGTTTTTGCCAATTTCATATAAAGCATCTATAGCTATAAATGTTCCAGTTCTTCCAACTCCAGCGCTTTAGAATAGTTTAAATAATTTAAAGTAATTGTTTACTACAATGTCCTTGTATAACTGAAGAACATTTTATACCGGAAATAAAACATAAAAAGAACGTTTTCCCTTTTAATTTTACGAATTCAGACGAAGGATTAATTGAAAATATTTTGTGATAGTTTTCGATATCAAATTGTAAACATTATTCTAGTTGTTTATACAATTTATTTATAAAGAGACAGTGCTTTAGACTAAGTAGTGTACATTGCATTATAATACCTTTTCTAGGATATTTAATGAAGCAATTTTGAACTTTTAATTACGATATCTGCTTTTCATACACATACCTACAATGTACAACCATCGGACCATTTTGGTAACATTTTTCAATCTTAACTTTCCTGTAAAAACTGACTAATTTGATACTGTCAGGAACACCGTGGTCTGGCCACTGAGTGAAATGAAAATGGTGAATTGTTCTTTCCTGTACATTCTAAAATAGGAAACATTGATGTTATTGGAGCTGCAAAATACATATAAACTATAGAATCAATATAAACAGCTCCCGGGTTTCCTAATATAAAAGCCGAAAGTGTCCGAAAATAAAGAGCAAGAAAGCAAAGCATGACAAAAAAATACAAACAAAACAAACTGAGTAAGAAACACTGGACTTTAAGGAGGAATAGGCAATTTGGTAAACCTATTTAAATAAAATTGTAGTTTAAAGGTTCAATAAACATTGTAAAATCTCCAGAGTTCAATCTTAGTACAGACAACTTTTGCTTTGCTACTCGAAAATGTTTTAAGGCCTGTCAAGACCTAGATATATTGAAGTTCTACGCAATTTGAGAGTCAGAAATTGAAAAGTTTACAGGATTTTAAAGAAGACTAGAAGATTAGAAAAATATATAACCAACAACTGATTTTTTTTAATGCCTCCGCTCGATTACACTGATTAAATCAATTTTCAAGGCAGACATCAATTTTCCCTCCATTTGTCATATCAAAACTACATATAACATTGTCTATCTGTGACGTTATATGAACTGAACACGTTCAGTAAATCAATATGAGACGAAAACATAGCTCGGGTTCCCATCCAAAATGTACTCAGCGTGTATATATCATATATCATATATCTGATCGGATATTAATGTCCTATCGACTTTCCATCTGATACTTGAAACAAAACATGTTTATCTATTACTAACTTTGAATATTTAACGATTGCCCTCTTTTATCGGTCAATGTCAAGAGCGATAAATCTTATACACAATGGTTTCGCGAACTTTTGTCTATAGTATGTTTCGTAGTTTCTTGTATTTCGTTGACATTTGAGCTGCGTCGAATAGAATTCAACCTTTTGTAAGTGCACATATACATGTATATTTATAAGACTTTCATTGATTTTGGACTATTCAAATCACATATGCATGTACATTGATAAGACTTGTATTGATTTTGGAACATTCAAATCACATATACATGTACATGTATAAATAAAGGCAACAGTAGTATACCGCTGTTCGAAACTCATAAATCGATAGAGATAAAAACAAATCCGGGTTACAAACTAAAACTGAGGGAAACGCATCAAATATAAGAGGAGAACAACGACACAACAAAAACACAACATTAAAATGTAACACACACAGAAACGAACTATAATATAACAATGGCCATTTTCCTGACTTTGTACAGGACATTTTAAGAAACAAATGGTGGGTTGAACCTGGTTTTGTGGCATGCCAAACCTCCCGCTTTTATGGCAACGTCAAACACAACACCAAAACGACAACATCACATGAGAGGACCACAATACAAATAAATGGGAGAACACATAGGACAAAGAAACACACGAATAATAGCTAACAAAAGGTACTAGGCTTAAAATTCAATACGCCGGACGTGCGTCTCGTCCACACAAGACCAACCATTGACGCTCAGATGAAAACAGTTTGAAAGCCAAAACAAGTACAAAGCTGAAGAGCACCGAGGACCAAAACTTCCAAAAAATTGCGCCTAACACGGCCAGGGTTTTCTGCCTGGGACAAGAACATCCTTATTATTTAGAATAATTTATAATATAGCAAACAGTAAATTTTATTAAATGACTATATAATAGATATACATGATTAAACCGAAGTGGGGACTAACTACAGAATTAAAACGGATACATTACATAAAACAACTTAATCCAACACATAAAAATACACAGCCGAGTTAGCCAAAGCCTCAACGCACAAAGTGACGTCACATTTGAAATTCTAAAAAAACACACAAAGTGACGTCACATTTGAATTTGTAAAAATATTTCCCAAAAATAAGATAGGATTAGGATTGATTCAAGATTAGATTTGTAATACTGACATTACATTTATTAATAACAATGAAAATTACAATACTTATTAATATCAAATTGTGGTAGTAATAAGATAATTAATTGTATTATCTAGCTATGTCGGTGTTTCTTCTGAATCAAACTGTAAACCAAATATATCGTATAAATTTCGTTGAACCAAACTAAAATCTAATAAATGAAGGGGTGATTAATTATATTTACCATAACACACGAATATAACAGAAAAGACGTTAAGACATTTGAAAAAATCCGACGAGAATAACAAATATAACATCAAAATTAAATACATGAATTTGGGATAGAAAAGTACCGTGAAACGTCTTATAGCAATGCGTTTCACACTCATTAAAACAGTCACTTTCATTGATTTTGGAACATTCAAATACAAAATAAAAGATGAATTTTGGTCTGTTTTGTAGAGTTCTTTTAACAAATCAGTTTTCAACCCGTTACAGACTTTGCATAGATATTTTTTAAACCCGAAATAGGATAACAGATGTAATGATATTGATTTGCATATGGTCGATTTCTATCCGACGCAGCTCATTTCTAAGCATACATGAATCAAAGGGGGGAATTTAACAAACATATTAATGCTGATTCGTCATATCATAGATGTTTTTTAACTGAATATTTTGTTATCGAGCCATATTCTTTAATAATGAAATTACCGTGTCGTTTTTGTTCAACACTGTTAGCAACCTGTACACATAAACTGTATGTTCTCTTTCTTCCTTCATGGTTACTATATAGTTGTTTACTGCCAATGGTTTTGTGACTGATTTAGGCCAGTATTTTGCACATTTTATCTGGAAAACGTATGAAATCGATATAAGTTAACATACAATCTCAGAGCGACGTAATAGAAGAGTTTGATAATCACTTTACTAAGTGGTGAAGTTGCAATAATCACTTCGTAAATTTTACGGACGCCATCACGAATTAGTTGACCGTTATGGAATATCTGTTTCACAGTTGATGACGGACATCTTCCATTTGTAGTGATCGCAATCCCGTCCACTTTTCCCCGAATATGACCTACCGAATTAGACTTATCGCCGGGTTTGTACTTACATGAGCAACAACACGAATGCCGTATGTGGAGCAGAAATTACGTACCATTTCGGAGCACCTGCGATCGCCCCGGTTTATGGTTTGGGTTCGTATTGATCAAGCTACAGTTCTCTGTGTTGTGTTGTGCTTTGTGTAGTGTTGTTTGTCTTTTTATCTTTTTTTTGACATGGCGTTGTTAGTTCATTTTCGACTTATGAGTTTGAATGTCCCTTTAGTATTTTTCGCCTCTCTTTTACCATCAGATAATATAGTTGTTGCCTCGTAATTATATGAGTTAAACATAATTAAATTTTAGTTATCAAATAGGCATTGTACATGTTTTAGTTTTGAGTATTTATTTAGTTATGTTTTTACTCAACAATTCAATGAACAATTACATACAAATAAAATTCAAATATCGTAGCACATTTTTCGATAGACTAAATAATAAGACAAATGTAACATGAAGAAAAAATGTGTTAAGGTAGTTTGTTACCTTGTGATTTTCTTTTAGCTGTGTGACCATCACTATTTTCCCAACCTTTTCTTGCCAGATCATATGCCAAAAATCTCTCAATGTTTCGTTTTTCGGACCTTCATGTTAGGAAAATGATAATATTAAGATTTGTAGGTTATCAATAAGAACAAAAAGACTGTCATCTAGATAAAGAGATTAGTTGTAATCTATGCGCTGTTTTTTTTTAATTATGTTTCGCTTGCGATAAGTCACCTAGATTGTGTAACAGGCCCAAATAAAAAACTTTCAAATCTTTTATGAATAATCCAGAGAAGGCAGTCAAATGTACAAGAAAAGAAAAAAACAACAAACGTTGAGGATATACATTTTAGTAGTTCTTTATACTTTAAAGACAATGGGAACAATCTCTCTTCCTAAAATATAAAAAAGACGACTATCATCAAGCTACGACAAACGAATTTGACTACTAGTAATCCTTTTATGTCTCTTTTGGTCATACAGATCTTCACGTGTTCAAGTACTTATACATCCTTGGCTTTTAAATTATTAGGTTTGAACGTTTTCAATAAAGGTAAATCATGAGCAAAGATTCGGACACACCAAATTTATAAAGATCACTTTACATCTTGAATCAAGTTCGTGGTGGCATGTAACTAGGCTCTGAAATGAATGCAGAAGTTTCTCTACCTTTCTTGAATACATGTTACACACCTATGAAAAATATTCTATACACATAGACAGAAATATATGAATGTCGAATACTATTTTTATAACAGAACCCACTTTTTAAACCAAATGACTTTCGATTATCGATTTTATACAAAATACAACCATCAAACATAGGAAATAGTATACAAACCTTGTGCTGCTATGTATGCTTTTTCTTTTTCATAGTTCTGAAATTGTACAAGGAGGGTATTTTGAATATACTACTTAGTTTTATTTGTCATAGTTACACTACAAATTTGAAAATCGTACCAAATTGATTACATGCAACAACTTCTTACTGGTCAAGAGCAATACGATTTGTATCACCAGTACAGTGGAAATGTTTGGTCCGAACTTGCATCAAATGAACACATTATCAGTGTGTGTTTGTTTTCCTGACTGATAATGACTGTTATCGGCAATTTATACATTTTCCCTTTGATCTAACTATCTACAATTGTTAAAATCAAGGAAATGAAAAAAATTTAAAACAACACGTTAAATAATTTCATGCTTCCGAAGGGCTTTTCTGGATTTACTTTCATCGGGAACCCTGAAAGCCGAATATTTAAAAGTCGAGGATGTATAACCTGATACTCGAAATTATTAGGCAATGATGTCATGTATCAGTGCACGTCGTCACGGCTCAAGTCAATCCGCATCAATATATCAATGAAATACACGCACGTTCATTCATGCAACCGAACCACTATCCCAACGTTTTGTACGCGTAAAAGTAGTTTTACTAAATATTTCGTTTTAGTTCATATTATCAACTATCAACCCCCCTCCCTCCCCCCAAATACAATACTCGCGTGTCATTTATTCGATACTAACTTCATCAGCTCGAAAATCAGCTCGAAATCATGAAATAAAACAACAATTTATATGAAGTAAAAATTAAATATAAAGCAAATGATTCTTTAAATCAGGGATAATTTGATGTTCATTTGATTAAAGTTTTAATATGGAACTAGCTCGTACTACTCCTCGTAATGCGTACATGTAGGAATTGACTTTTTTAAAAATGAAACATTTTGAGCACAAAAAACATATTAGTTCATCCGTGTAAGCAAATAAAATATGAGAATTTTTATGAATTGTAGGATTTGTTTTTAAGATCTATATATATCTTTTAAGTCATATAATCTATAGAGCTTTCACATAGCAGAATATTTATGCTATTTTACATACAAGGCCATAGAGACAGAAAACGGTTTTTGACTTTATTTCCTTCTTTTGAACCTTCAACATGTGCATAAAGAAGTCCTTTTTGTAAAACAAATTACCGATAAATAGAATAATCGCATGTCATTTATTCGATACTAACTTCATCAGCTCGACCTAGCGAGCTCGCCTGATATTCTTGCTGATAAAGTCAGTATCAAACCAAAAAATGCCATTATTCTATATCTATTTGCCTTGTGTTTTGTCCCTTGTTATGTTAGACTGATATAAATGCCCGCGACCGGCATGCGTTTAATTGTACGATATGTGTCAATACGTAGCAAAGTCCAACCGGAGTATTTAAACTGATGTCTCATTTATCAAAAGTGGCAATCTTTCTCCATGTTTGTGAACCCTTGAAACTATCTGCACAGTCCCTAGACTGTAGGTTACCCCTTTCCCTCATTTTCCAGTAGTTGTAAACATTGTTTTGCCCTTTTATCACCGGTCAATCTACGTTTCCAGAATCTACTTATTGAAATATTTGTTTATTTGTTGATTTCAGTATTTTGTATGCAATATTTGGACGGAAACAAAACATCAATTAATCAATCTATTTACAGTTGGCAACTTTGTTGTCTGTGCTGTTTTTTTTTGTTAGTTTGGTCTCCCCTTTTTTCGTCCTGCTTATTTAATTATCATTGTTTGTTTACTAATAGAACACATACTAAATGTAACAATGAAAGAACACCATGGTTATATTTACATACCAAAACTATTCATGAGTAGTCGCAATCTAATTAAAATTAGTTTTTCGCACTTGCTCCGCGTTGTCTATAAGTCGCGCGACATATAAACAACGAGGAGCAAGTGCGGAGAACTAATTTTAATTAGATTGGAGTAGTCGTTAACGTTTTGGAAAACAGGAAAACAATATTGTACTAGTTTTATTACTGGTTTAGTGATATAGAAATAATTGGAAATACTGGTTTTTGTGTTCTTTTCCCAACAGGAGTTGCATATGCATTTCCACTATATTTCAAATCGTAGCAATATTGTCATTGAGACTTAGACTTTTGAATATCTCTAAATTCAAGTCGACAACATACACCGTTGACAATATTAGAATATTAGAATATAAAAGAATGTACATATATCTGTTAAAACTTACATCAATATAACTAGCATTTATATAATCGTGCGTCGTGTCCCCCTTCAAAACAACACGTGAATGATCATCTATAATGAATACATATAGTTATGATATCAGTATTATAAATTGATACCAATCTGTCATTGGTATGATTAAGGATGTACACCTCTGAGTAGCCAAAAATTATTAAACTTTTTTTCTTAACCTGATTTTTGGGTTTATATGACTGTAAACAAATAATTGATGAAAAAAAAATCATATGGTGGTGTACTTATTTTTTTCTACAGCCATTTGAAAGTACCTAATTTTGATGTTTTTCCCATTTTTCATCAATTTTTACCCATTTTTGGGCTATTATTATGAAAAAAATCAGTTTCAGAATTAAACTTTTTTTCATATTTTCACTAAAGATGAAGTGGACCAATCTGAATAAATTTAACTTAAAGAACTATGGGTAGGTGTTAATATAAGAAAGTTTTATAAAATTTTTTTGCTTTTTCGTGTCAAATTTACATGTACCATGTTGCCAATTTTGTGAATTTGTGATTTTTCTCTTTTTTTAGAGAAGCATATTATTTCAACTTCTTTGTTATAAATGACTGAAAAAATACATATCTAAGAAATTTGAAAAGAAGAAATTGATATGGGATGTACATGCATCTGGTAAAATCATTTCTTGTACCCCTCACCTATTTTCTCAACATTTTGGCTAATGAGACTGACTTGACTGGTTATAAAATTTGAAAATTTTATTACTCAAAAACTGCTTATTGTAAATACACAATTTGTTCACAGAGTTAAGTTTGATTATTATTATTTTTTAAATTCATTGATATTTTCCACTTGTATCACATGTTTTGGAAATAATTCCAAAACGAGATTTCAACGAGACTGAAACGTCAGAAGAATACATCCTTAAATGCTTTGTTAGAATACAAATGTTAAACAGTCATATTTTAACTTTATGTTGCCGATTCAAGAATGTATAATCTTACTCACGATTTGCAATTAAATATTTTTGTTTGAAAGAAGATACAGTTTGGGATTCGTTTGGCCTTGTTAATTCTCCATTTATAAAATGCATGATAGTATATAACTTCTTTCAGGTTTTCAAACTTCAAAAGAAGAAAACTTTCAGAAGTCTTGAATATTAGCACATTCTACCAAAATAACAACAGTTTCTCGTCATTTACTGAGTTTACTGTCTCTTGACGGGTATATAACATGTATAATGCATTAAAACAGTATATCATGAAATAAAACAACAATATATATGAAGTAAAAATTAAATATAAAGCCAATGATTCTTTAAATCAGGGATAGTTAGATGTTCATTTGATTAAAGTTTTAATATGGAACTAGCTCGTACTACTCCTCGTAATGCGTACATGTAGAAATTGACTTTTTTTTTAAAATGAAACATTTTGAGCACACAAAACATATTAGTTCATCCGTGTAAGCAAATAAAATATGAGAATTTTTATGAATTGTAGGATTTGTTTTTAAGATCTATATATATCTTTTAAGTCATATAATCTATAGAGCTTTCACATAGCAGAATATTTATGCTATTTTACATACAAGGCCATAGAGACAGAAAACGGTTTTTGACTTTATTTCCTTCTTTTGAACCTTCAACATGTGCATAAAGAAGTCCTTTTTGTAAAACCTAAAAATGAAAAAATAAAAATCCGTTATATTACATCACTTCTGTGTTGACATGAATTATCAATGATATGGTCAGAGTTATAATTCAACTGTTTGTAAAAATTTGGATTCTTCGAAATACTAAGGATTTTCTACCCAAGAATTAGATTACCTTTTAATGTATTTGACAAGAAAATTCGGAATTTCGGTTCATAAATGCTCTTCAACTTCGTACTTTATTTGGCCCTGTTAACTCTTTTGATTCGAGAGTTACTAATGAGTCTTTTTATTCTGGGTATCTATGATAAGCTTTTATAAATTGAGTAAGTAAAATATTTCAGCCTTATTGAATGTTCATCGTTATTCAACTCTAGAAAATAACTCAGTAATTGATTTACCATGAAGAGTATGGTGAAGAATACCAGCTTTTATATTTCTGAATACCAAATTAAAAAAACCCCAAAACATTACTTTTATAAAACGCAAGTCATGATCTTGTAGCGGATCACTTTTGAATTAACAGACAATAATAAAACCATTTAATCAAACGTGTTAAAATATGCATAACTCACCTCATACTCTTTCTTGAAATCTTCGCCTTTTTGTTTTTCATGTACAGCCGCCTTCAGATCTCCAATCATTATCTTGTATTTAGAAACGCTTAGTACATTACTGTACACGTTCACATCATCGTTTTTGACTTTTTGTGATTCAGTTTCCCCGTTCTCTGTCAAGGAAGTAGTAACATCTTCTGCTTTTGCTATACTATTTATATTAGCGTAGTTATGTTCACTACTGTTTTTCTTGCTTGTATCTATATAAAATGTTAAATGAATAGTTCTCATTCATCAGGTTATGTACATGTAACAATTCTTTGATAAGACTTCATTATACATGTTATACAATGGATATGTTAAGGTCTCTTTTAAAACCAACAGACACTAACAAAATCATTTAAATCCAGTTACTAATACCAAGAACGAATAGGATCGTAACGTGAATAATAAACGTTGAAATTCTTTTTACAATATACAACATAACCATAACAGACATGAACCACAAACAGGATGGTGCCCCGGTATATATCATGCTCGATATATCCTGGTATCTATGATGAGTTTATTTATGCATACTTCACAACCATGGGTGTGATTAACGGAACAAGAGTTTTACATTGAATGCACTACAGTATTCATGGTTATCAAATGCAAATGATTAGTGTTTTGTGGTTCAAGGTGAAGATAGTAAGATTTAAAAGTGAATTATTATGTGTTTGCTCACCGAATGCAGTCTCAGTTCTTGATGATTTCCGGTGTAATTTTCTATCTTTTGTCGATATTAACCTGCGTCTGTTAATAAAAAAAAACCCAAATGAACTATAAGTATTGGTGAAGTTGTGAATGTCAAGGAATAATGGAAAAACATACGCCTGCCATAAATTCATAGAAACGTAGAGATGGAAAAGACAATTGATAAAACTGTTCCTGACAATGTAAATATCGTCTCAATAAATGGTTGAGCTGTTTTGTCAAAATATTTTTTATATTTATAACATACCATTAGTAAAAGACACTTAAGGTAAGTTATTATGTCAATAGCAATGTTATGCTCACGTTAAATGAAACACTTGTAAAATGTCACCCGTAAAGTTTTGCACACACGTAAATATTGTCAAGAAATTTCAGAGGATACAACATAATTAAGATAGGAAGCCAAAGTATAATTTGAATTTAAATTTCCAAACTCATATACAGGATCAATATTCTACGAAATCATTTCTGTCTTTGTTTCTTTTCCAAATTTTAAGATGGTATCATTCCCTTTTTGAAATAAAAAAGACATGTCTATGCATTCAAGTATGAGGAACAAATTACCTAAAGTATACCTAGCCATGAATAAATTCTAATTCAATTGTCAATATACATTAAACTAAAGGTTTTCAAATAAGCAACGTTTTGTCTCGAAAGGACCTGATGGAAGTATGTACAATGTATTGTGCTAGGCGAAAACTTTAGTTTTGTTCTTAAATGAACAAGGATTGTACATATATATTATTGAATACTAGTTTGATAATGAAATCCTTGTGTAATAACATAAACGGTTACAATTTTATGGTACCTGATGCCATTCTGACAATTAATGTCTCTCCAAGAATGCTTGAGTACAAAATAATAAAAAATCCGAAACATATTACAAACATTGATTCATTGTTGGTTGCCCATCGTCCAGTGGCAAATATTTCATACATGTTCAGGACAAAATAAACTAACAATAAAGACCTATATATATACAATAGGTAGGTCTTGTAACAGAGGCCACTGGAAACCGAGGGTATATTGTATATTGACAGAAATGTTGCCTTGCAACAGGCCACCTAAGGACCCCTCAAAGAGTTTTTACAAGGGTTGTTAACGTGCAGAGAGCTTGGCACTCTCTCTACACGAGGCATTGGATTTTATCGACCCCAGTCTGACCGGACGTGGCTGCGTACTTGATACATCCCGCACTGCAAACATTGAAGAGCTGATAAAACCAAAAAGTACATAAATACGATTAGATAAATTCCAACGGTTAATATTCTTCTATGAATCGAATATATAAACGACGTAGAAAGTTTACTAGAATGACACCCGAATTTGACCCGATTTGAAAGCATGTATTCAAGAAACTGTGTGGTATGTTGCATATTATGTACAATATTTTTAACTATAGAGTATACGTTATAATGTTTAATCAATTAATTAAGAAAATAACAATTAAAAATAATATTACTAAGAATCGTCTTATGTTTTGCAAAAGTTATACGTACTTTGGCTGGTAGAATGGTACATGGAAAAAGAAAATAAACAAGTTTTAAAAGATGGACTAATTCTATTTAAATATCCTTTGTCAAAACATATGAATAATTATACGATACTAGCATTCACTGCATCCGATATATATGACGCCAATTAGATATTTACATAGTTGATCGAGAAAACACATAACCTTATACAAAACATTAACGAGTTGATATTACCAAAAAGGGACAAAAGCATACCCAGAAGGGGCACATGGAAACTTGACTGAAAATATTCCTTAAAAGATACAAAAGATATCAAAGGGACAATCAAAATCTATGTCTGGAAGAGAACAGACAAAACCATGACAGCAGTTTAAATAAACTGAACTGTTACCCTTTGGAACTAACATTCTACTATCAGAGGTATCGATCTGGGTAATTAATCTAACGGTACTACGATTACTGTACTTTAAGATGTCACTTGATTTATTTATGTTCATTATGTTCATTATGGAGTACTGAACATCGGAAAAGTACTGTTTCCTATATTTTTTAAGTCAAGTTTAAAATATCAAATCAATGAAATTGGACAGTTACTATTTTTCGTTTGAGCTAGTTTATAGCACTCATATATAGTTGTGACCGTATATAAACACAATACATTTGTTTCTTTAAATAAATCTTTATAGTCAATATGTTATGTTGGGTTTTTATAGGTCCATTTATTCATGGGATCTGTTTGATATAATGAAGTTTCAACTGGTCAATAACTAAAGAAATAAGAATTGAAACATTTTAGTCGACTGGATACCTACATTGCTGCCTATAATGCTCATGAAGAGCGATACCAACTGATCTGATTCTAAATAAATAGCAATTCTTTTAAATTGCAATCCCAATATCAAGAAATGCACTTTAAACGTATGAAATTTATAAAGCGTTGTCTTTATTTTGTTCAAAGAAAATAATGATGAATAAACCCGATACTGTTCCACGAGGTTTTGCATCTTGTCTATCGACTTCAAGACAGTACTTTGAACAATAACAATAATAAATGATTGATGTTAGTAATAAATGCTTTTCAACGGAAAAGTAGGATATCTTTAAAGAACAATACAGCTAACCTGTAAATGATGAATACCACAACTATAAGCAGAATAAGTATGACTGCAGCAGCACTTCCACCGATTGCGGCAGCATAAGGAGGATCTTCCTTTTGTAATTCAGATATCGCTTAAAAATAAAGTAAATAGTCAGTCACTTGAACATTTTGAAGCAAAAAAAAAAAAAAAAACAACCCAAAAATGTCAAGCCATTTACACAGATGATTGATTTGCGGTGAATGAAAAATAGCAATAATTTTGCAGCGTCCAAAGTCTAAAATACTTCCATCTTCAGCGATAAATTTGTTCACCCATACTTAATGTACTGTGAACATACATTTGATATACAGACATTGGTTACTGTGGCAGCATTTCAATATTGACGACTTCAAGTATAAACCACCTGATCGCACCCGTGAAGTGTCCCATTAATATAAATTTATAACTCTTGACATTAACATTGCCACAACACATTTCTACAAAATGTGTTAGCCGAAGCGCCAAAATACCATGAGCCAGAATCCGTAAGCAGAAAAATACAACTACACGTATGGATTCATACAAGAATTATGCCAGATAAAAGGCAAAACCTACAAAGAAAGACATATTTATCATTTTCAAGTGTTAAATAACGTTAGTTCGTTGATAAAAATCGTAATAAAAACTCTTAATTGGTCTTTGAACACTCGTATAACAAAGTTCATTTATTTCCCTGTGTTGACCTATTTCCATGACAGATTTGGTATTATCCACATAGGGAAATCCCCAAATGATATCATTTTTGTTTATATATCGCATTAAAATCCGGACAAAATATGTAACTTACCACTAACATTGCATACGCGAATACCATACAATTCTTAAATGTAACCCTTTTGATGGTGATTTATGTTTTCAGATTTTGAGAGGAAAAGCCGTGAAATTAAAATTAACATTTTGTTTTCATATGTACTAATACAGCTCGAGTATCCTGACTTTTTGTCAAATTATACCTAAAAAAGAAGACCTTATTTTAAGTTTAAATGCTTTTTAAGTTGTCATTTAAATACACACAAATCCATAAAACCAAAAACAAATCCACATTATTTTCATCAAACGTAAAATAACATACAAGTAACTAAGATTGGACCAGAAAAGAATGCCGATTGTTTTAGTACTGTTTTAGAAAAGAGGTAGAGCCAAAGTCCCAATATTTGCCTACTGAAAGGGGTTAAATCCATTGGATGTTGAACGTGTACTGATTAATTTTTAAGTGTTTAATACATGATTTTTAATAAGTTGTTATTGCCTTTGCACTAGCTGTCAGTAGCTGTAACTACTCTCAGGTCTATATTTTGTGTCTTTTTTGTTGTGACAACAAACAATAGAGCATCACGTCCTTTTAAAATGGTTCAGAATATATTGCATACAGAAAAAAGAAGCAGTATTATTGAAAATTTAGAATGTATGGCAAGCCTTTAATACTCTGGTAAAATATGAATATGAATCGAATTAATGAAGGGCAAAAAGCATAGAATTAATGCACAGCAAACAACAATAAATGAGCTATGTAACTTAAAAATAACGACGACCACATGAAGATCAATTTCCTACCTTCTTCGCATGATTCGCCATGCCACCCCTTTTGGCATCCACCAGATGGACATTTTCCTGTAAACCGACTGCATGGCCCAGTTAAACAATAACACTTCCATGTGCAGTTATTACCAAAATACCAATCGTCACAGGCTACAAAATAGCAAATATAAAGTATCTTAATAAAACAATAGCTATTCTTGCTAAAAAAGCCATTTGAAATGTAATTTTTTTTACCATTTTCTGTATTTTCAAATGTGCACGTACCAGATGCTACTTCAGTCAACATCAACCGTAATTACCATCATGGAAAAGGTAAATCATAAAATAGATCTTACATGATTGTGTATGATATTCGTCAGAAGTTACTTCAACAAGTAGAAGTGTAAAATTATGCATGTGTATAATATTGAAGAGATTATGTTATAGAGGAAAAAGATGTTCACCAGCATTGAACTGACAGAACGGTAATATAAAACTGAATATATTTCTACATGCTACCTATGGTATGCGGGTCTCAAGAATATCATGTCAACCAATAGACACATCAAGTTAGCAGTAAGTTCGAGTGAGGTTCTTAAAGTAATGTCTGTATTTGATACCGGGCCTGAAATTTTCAATAGGAGGTAATGTCGAGCAGTGTTGACATTGGCAAAGTGGACAAACTTGACAATTTTAGTAGCAAGGATCTAACACACAGTAGTTTCATATAAGGAACTTTCGTGTAATATTTGATAAAAAGAAGGAAAGAGTTCTCAGGAAGATTTTTTTTAAATATTTAGCGGTTGATAAAATTCAACATTACATGTACATTTCTTATGGAACTTCCCAATTATCACTTTCCCATTTCTCTGCAGTAACATACCCTCTGCTCCGTCGTATGGTGTGTACATATCTCAATTGATACGTTATTCTCGTGCATGTTCACACTATACTGACTTCATATACAGGAGTGTGCTTCTTACGCAGAAACTGCTCCAACAGAGTTATGAGGAGGAAAGATTAAAAATGACACTCCGTAAATTTTATGGACACCATCACGAATTGGTTGATCTATACGATGTGTCTGTGTCTAAACTAACTAATGACATTTCTACCACCTCTTAGATTGTGGTTTAACATCTATGTCGTCTGTCTGCAAAGTACCGAACGTGACCTATTCCCGAATATGACTGTTATACCGAGAGTGAATTTACATTGCTATACGACGTGTCTCGGTATTTTGTACATCCAACATTCATGTATTTATTTTTTGATGTTTTTTGTTATGGTTTCGGTTGAATAATGTGTTATGTCGTATTGTTTGTTGTCTAAATAATTATAAAATTGCCTTTCAATACCATCATTGTCATATTCCCAAATATGACTGTTATACTGAATGTGAATTTGCATTGCTGTGCGGCGTGTCTCGGTGTTTTGTACATCCAACATTCATTGATTTATTTTGATGTTTCTGTTATGGTTTCGTTTGGATAATCTGTTATGTCTTATCGTTTGTAGTCCAAATAATTATAAAATTGCCTTTCCATACCATCATTGTCATGAAAATTGTTTGGACGAATATTGTGAAAATAATTGTATAAAGTTCGAGATTGCATGCTAGTTACGTAAGCGCGTCACATTTTTGATATCCTGTGGTGTTTTTTGTTGTTGGAATATGTTCGTTGTTGTTCTGTGGTTTGCATGTTATGTCGACTATTATATTATTTGTTTGTGCGTTTCTCTGTTATGAATGTTCTTGCGTGTGTTTGTGCTGTATTTCTGTCACGTAGCGTTTTAACGATCTTTTTTAACATTGTCATAAAGCGGGAGGTTTGGCATGCTTGAAACCAGGTTCAACCCACCATTTTGTCTTAAAATATCCTGTACCTAGTCAGAAATATGGCAGATGTTATCAAATAGTTCGTTTCTATGTGTGTTGGCGTTTGTCTTTGTTGAACTTCGGTGTTCCTGTTGTTCCTTTGTTTTCCTCTTAAAATCCTGTAACCCGGATATGTTTTCTCTTAATCGATTTATGACTTTTGAACACTGGTATACTACTGTTGCCTTTATTTATGTCCAACACAATATTGTTTTACAAATCGGACAATATCTTTAAAGTATCGTTAATTACCTTTCTATCAGAATGTATTTTTATTTTTAAGCTATGCTTATGATGATATGTTGATGAAGAAACACAGCTTGCATTTACAATATTATTAATATCGATTAAAGCATTGAATGGAAAATCTGAAATAGTATTCATATCAGACAGCCTTATGTTTTTGGGGAATGGAAACAAAGAGTTTTTTTTATTATTATTTAGAAAATAACAATTAAAAACGTTTTTGAAATAACAAATATTTAAAAATTAATTCTGATTTTCCTTGACCGTTCGAAAAAAGTCGAAAGAGTTACTGTATGAGAATGGAAAAGGGATTTAAAAAGGTTCGATGTACTGAAATACAGAAAGACGTAACAGAAGAAATACATATTGAAAACTAACCAAAGATACACGGCTTACAATTTACCAATCCGGACGCGCGCGTCGTCTACATCAAACTCATCAGTGGCACTTGAACCAAAACGATGGAAAGGTCAAATCAAATACGGAGTTGAATGGAATTAAAACTGAAAATTATAAGAATACCATATTGTACGTACTGTTGTTGCAGTATTCATCAAACAAATAACCAGGTTCACATCCAGTGGTATTATAACATAATCCATTGATGGCTTCACAACTGTGTGATATACATCCATCACATGAACGATTACAGTTTCGTCCAAAATTACCGTCATTACATCCTGAAATGTTCGTTATATTAGTCCAAATTAGTATTTGTTCTCTTTTGTTCAAGTCAAAGTAAACCAACTCTTTGTCTTCGACTAATAACTTTGAATACCCGATCGAAATCTTTCTTCTGTCGAAGTATATATTAAGGAATAGATTTAGACTTTCAATGATTTAGATCATCTTATACATGTATTTTTTTTATAAAATAAGGCACACACTTGTTCTTGCTAAGTTGTAATGACATGCCATCTACAATGTTATATATCGATAAAAGTCGGCGGAGATATTTGGAATTAGAAGTTAATATGTGGTTCCTATGATCTTATTCATGACAGTAAATTCGATTGCAAATCTAAAAGTATGCCAGGTCAAACAAATGATTATGTCTGTAATATGCCATAAATATATTTGTTAAGTCGAACAAGTGAAAACCAATTTCCTACCTTCTTCACATGATTGGCCTTGCCATCCCTTTTGACAACCACCAATAGGACACTTTCCTGTAAACATGTTGCATGGCTCATTCAAACAATTACAATTCCTTGTACAGTTTGTACCGAAATACCAATCATCGCAGGCTATAAAATAGAAATTTTATTAAAGTATATCAATGTTAAAACCGCTTTTCGAAATACCACTTGCTACATTATATAGTTTATATATGTAAATTGATTTTTAACGCTCGTGCATGTTCATTTAATATGAGGGTGTACTTCTGACACAGCAACTGCTTCAACATGATTATTAAGAAAAAAGACTGAAATCGACAAAGCATTTTTATAAATGATATATGGTCACCATAACCGAAACGATGTTCTTGTGTTAACACATGAGCGACATGTGTTCGCGGTCTTATACATGCATCTTAATACCAGAATAGTTTTTTGATATGCAAATGTACCTATTGAATCCATTGCCTATTTAGACATTTTAACTGAATGAGGATTCGCTTGATGAGTGATACATGCAAATCAAGTGATGCTTACCATGATGACGAACCTGGGTTCTCACCGTTTGAAGTTCATGCAATTTCCCTAAGGTATTTAGAAAACAAGATTTGTTAATCGAAATTTAATATGCGAGATTTGAACATCAGTGTACTACTGTTGCCTCTTACTTGATGACATGAAAAAGATGAAATGAAAAATAGAGAAATTTTTATTTGTATATTTTTCTGCAGTTAACAATCTGCATTTAGATAATTACACTCTGCTTGTGTATGTAACTGGTCGGGATATAGATCAACGAAAAGAAACTCAAATTATTGATTTCTGTTATTAAAAGTTCTACATGATGGATGTTTATTTTGAGGATTTAGTTATTTGAAATCAATAAACATCATATTTGTATGCATTTTTATGATATTTTCAGTGACGAAATATTGACCAAGTGATAGTAAAACAACATGATCTTTCCAATTTCATACATAAATATTTTACTGAGTAGATGCTAGTCTCATCAAAAGCAGCAATCATATTGGTTCATTGTGTTCTATAATTATCAAGTATGAAATTTTCTTCATATTTTCCGTAAACTGTGTCATAAAAAACTAGCTGCATTGCTTGACCTTTTTTGTAGGCAGCACGGAATTGCCACTTATAATTAAGATCATCGGTTATACTTGGTGTCTAGCATTTTCCAAAACTCAACATTTAGTTCCGCTGTTCGATGCAATATTGTTTGACCAATCGACCCTTTCGTAACACAATATTGAAGTATTGTTTTAGAAATCTCTCTGTTATAAATCATTTTGTTTTTACGCTATACGTTAGAGGATCTGTTGAAAGGCACCAACAACAATATAAGCAAGCCTTCAGTGGGGAAATCACAAATCTGAATCCAAAGAACATTGCATACAATATGAATATTATTCTTAAGAAAATCGTTAATTATATTAATCATATAAAGTTATATTAAGCTTGGGCTTATCTGACATCAAGTTCATATTGAAGACCTTATTATTGGGAATGGCAGCAAAAAGTTTTTGTAATTTCAAAAACATGGAAAAAGAAAAACAACAAAATGTTGTAAAATCGTGCATAGAGAAATATTCTACAACTTATCTTCTTTTCCTCGACCATTCTAAGAAGTGGATAGTGAAACGTCTTACAACGAAAGTATAACGACGTAGACAGATTGATGGACTGACATACAGGAAAGTGAAAGAGAAATAATGTATAACACCATATTGTACTTACTGTTGTTGCAGTATTCCTCAACGTAATAACCTGGCTCACAGCCAGTGGTGTTATAACATAATCCATTAGTGGCTTCGCAACTATTTGATAAACATCCATCACATGAACGATTACAGTTTCGTCCGAAACGACCATTATTACATCCTGAAATGTTCGTTAATTTTGACTAAATAAGTATTGTTCAATTCAATTAGACCAAATCTTTGTCTTAGACTTATTACTTTAATTACCCGCTCAAATCGTCTGACATTTTCTGTCTTCTTTTCACAATATATTGCATATGTACATCCTCTTGTGAAACATGCATACGTTATACTGTTTACATCATTGAAATAAAAAATGATCATTTGTTTGACACGTTTTCAATTATGTATTCATAAAACCATTAATAGCGTCAAGTGTTTTCAAAACTAACGCATTGATACTTTATAGTTAATGTTCAAAAATTCAATTAAACTTGTTTCAAACTCGTTTATGGCTCGGTGTTGTGAAATTTTTGGTCAAATAATGACAGTATTTGTTATATTTTTATGGGGCCATTTTGGTCGTAACACACTACACTATTGAACGATAGGAGATAAATCCTTCATTAAAATATCCAATATTGCATTTTAAATATTCCATACGGAAGTTACATGGTCGATGGACAAATACTTATAATTAGTATGATTATTTGCGACATCGTAGAACTGTAGAAAATTCTAAAGTAATAACTTAATTTGGTTATTGAGCATACATTAAGTGTTTTTATTTTGAATTTAAAGGAAGTTTAATTGAAGAAAGATCTGCAAAAAGTTTTTGGATGAAGTAAAATGGAAAAATGTAATACTGCTTTCATTAGTTAATCGCACCCTTTTTCAGTTGTATTCGACAACCAATTTTGAAGACATGACGCACCTGAACGCATTCAATAAATTTGCACCTGATCATTATCTTATCTATTTAAACACATTTTGTAGATATCATGCCATTTAATTCGGTCACGAAATAATTCCTTAACATTCTTTTTTTTAATTGCTTTTACAAAAAAATAATAATCTATCGGACTTACCTAGTTTGTGGATTAATTTTGGATTAACATTGACATTGTACAAAAGTCATATTTGTTGTTGTTGAAAAAGCCTTTCTTCTGTTCCTTCCCATACATTTTTACACTGTTAAGTTCATTTCATTTCATATTTGGCAACGATGAGTGTTGTACAAAGATGTAATTGATCAATGAACAGTGTGGGTATTATAAGGCAAGAGTGCATTTGAACTGTGCAGTATGTCTGAGATAGTTATTGCACAACTGACATGCCTCAGATTATAGTACAGCAAGATTGTACCAAAATTTTGTCATGTCTTAAACTTTTGTGTTGACATGAAATATCAACGATATGATCATTTTCTACAGATTTACTGTATATTAAGTGTTGAATTATTCGAAATATTACAGTCAGGATTCTACTTCATCAAAATTATATCCCCACGACGCAACTTATTTTTTTTTTCAAAATGGAAACCATTGTAGGGATGACGCGCTGTAAAATTAGCTCCTGAAAACCGGTTAATTTATCCACAAAGCATCATGACCATTCTTACATGACAGTTTGTTTTAAAAGACAAATGTATCTACTAGCTATTAAGCATCACGTAATGTAGTTTTATGCCATTTGTCAACTTTAAACTATTGTCTGATCGGTTGTCAGGGAGAATTTTCGAAAGTTTAAAAACATTTTCAGAGATTGACGACGAATTATCCTAGATAAAACACACAAAAAAGGAAGTGCCCGACTTTCTCTTTTTGATGAGATTATTGCCAATTTTTAGGGTTTTATTCTCAAAAAAAAACTGTTGCCACGGTCAGAGATGCAAATTAATATTTCAAAAAGATCAATCATTTAACTTTTTATTTTTAAATTTATGCTGAGCACACAAAAGATCTACATGTATATGCACCTGCCATAATCGACGGTTTTGTGAAAATTTGTCTTTATTTGAAAATTTGTCGAAGCGCAATACTACAAATGACTATGAACACGTATATAAGATGCAAAAAATCATAAATCATTCACCTAAATTAAACTTTAAAAGCCCATAGAAACAGATGTAAACATTTCAAATATACACAACTTGACCATTAATACCTTCTATAATAGGCAGTTGTATTCTTTTCTATAATTTCAACTGGATATCAGCCTGATTAAGGTTATTGTACTCCTTTGCCGTTTTTTTTTGGTATTTAACATGATTAAAGCTTAACAACTTATTATTTGTTTTGTCCTACCAACTTTTTTGTAATCAGGGAAAAGAAAAAGTTTATATAATCTAATTGATATTATGATATGATTTATATTGAATATTGTAATTATGTTTTAAGTTTTTCATTGTTTATTCATGTGTTAATTTAATTTGATTTTTATCAGGGATCATTTCTCGATCCTAATATTTTATCTCTAAAAAAATTGCAAATCTGAAAAGAAATGGTATATGTATAGATTTCTATTTGGTCACATATGCATGTATCAACATTTATTATCGATTATCATTTTCCATTGGAATAACATTTTACTTGCGGTGAAGAATTTAATAGATTTATTTCCCTCTAAACATTTTAACGCATATATTTTTAAATGGTAAAAGGTTTAGTTTAATTTGTAGCCAATTTCAAAAGAAATCTTTAGATAACGCAAAATTCCGTCTGATAAAATCAGTTAAGATATTGCTTTCAATTTTTCTGATGCGAATCTTTTTGCCCAAACATTTGAAGTTTCATTTAATTTAAATAACTGCCAATATTAAATCATCTTCATACCTCTCTCTTGATAAATTTTTAATTTAGTCGATCGTTTTTAACGTTTTGTTTTTCCGTCTTTGTTTATTGGTTTTATTGAGGTACATAGTCTTGCGGTGCTGGTTGGAAATGTCAATAGATAAATAGTAAAATGCTTACAGTACAAATAAAGCAATCAAACAATGTGTCTTAGATTTCCACAATAAATATATATTTGAAAAAGATTGAATTTGAAGAGCTTTATCTTACATAAATTTAATTGGTTGAATTAATTATTCATGACTTTTTCGCTTACTGCGACAAAAATAACCAACTTACTTTGGTCACATGATTCACCATGCCATCCTTTTTTACAACCTTCAATTGGACATATTCCATCTGTTTTGTTGCATGTTTCGACTAGACAGTTACATTCCATTGAACAATTTTTACCAAAATACCAATTGTCACATTCTGATAGACGAAAAAATATAGTTTTCAATCATAAATGATAATTATATATACCATATGATATGTTATCGAAAGTCTGTTTGAAACATAAATACCCCCCCCCCCCCCCCCCCCCCCCCCCCGACTCAATGACGGGTAAATCAAGGAATGATGAAACAGCAACTTGAAATTAGGTAAAGAACGTAGCCGATCCGGTCTTCTATATACCATACCTACATTGGTTTTATTTATCAACAATGATGCAACATCAACTTATCCAAGCAAAATTGTTGCTTGCCACATGTCTTACAAACATAACAATGCCCAAAATAACGTTCCCCGTTTTTGTGTAATAACATTAGACAAGTTTCTTGATCAAACTTAGACTGTAATGAACTGTTATTCGAGATGAGTTTGTATAATGGTCATAAAATGTCTTTCTTGACATCAACTTCTAGTTAACATTAAGTCTTGAAATTGTGTCTGCAGAGGTCTGCTTTCTTTTACAAGAAAACATTTCTTGCATTTAATTGAAATTCAAACAGAGTCTCCTAATTCAAGTCAAGTCCATTTCGGCATCGGGTTGTGCTCCATAAGCAAAATTGATACAGTACGGGGAAGAAGGTCTAAAATCGACATTAGTTCTGCAGTCATAATCAAGTGAGAAACGTTTTTTTTTTTTGTCTTAAGATATTAGATACTAATAATTGTCTTATCTATTAATTTACTTATTATTCATGCAATTTCAACGTTTGTGTAAAAGTTAAAAAGGATCCGTATAGAACTCAATGCATACACTGTGGTAATAAATGTCGATGGTGAAAAATGTGCAAACACTCGAAATGCATTCTGTTAACATTTTCTTTATCAGCATTGCTATGTTCTTAAGAGAGTTTATTACAACATACAACACGCATTAAGAGTCTTTAGATGACTTTACTATGAAACCGGTATTTGGTGTTTACAGGGTCGGCTTACGCAGTGTATATTACAATGAGCTAATCAAGGAAATATTTTTTGTACAGAAAGACTTGTAACGATTAGATAGTAAATAATATAATACAGGATAGAAAAATCAGCTGGCCAATCATAAATCTTCAAAAATTCATGACTATTCAAAGGGGAATAATTCAATAACCTATTACTTGCTTTTTAGCAAAACTAAAACTACAAAATTTTAAAATCAATTCTTTATATTGAAATTTTGTAACTGTGCCTAAATGTAATATTCATACGAAAAAATATTAAGAAAACCAATATTGTATGAAGGGATTTTTTATCAATTCTTTTCATCAAACTTAATAGGAAGAACGAGCGTCGTGAAATGGGTTTACGTCAAGGTGAAAATGCATCTCCTGCTTTTTTTCTGTATATCTGAATGATTTGAAAGCATTTATAGAAGAGTTAGATACAAAAGTCTAGCAGTCACTAAGTACTGACCTACAAATTGAAATTGGTTTATATTTGAAGATTTTCCTACTTTTATGCGATAATGATACTATTTTATTAGCAGATAGTAACACTGTACCACAAAATATGCTAAACTTTGTCATATATTGTAACACATGGCAATTAAAGATTAATGTTGATACAACAAAAGATCTGGTTTTTAAACGGTAGATATCAAAGTTTCTGAAATTGAGATTGTTAAAAATTATAAATATTTTGGAATATTTTACACAAAAAGTGGTTCATTTCCACAAAGTAGAAACAGTAATACTTACGAGACCAAGGAATAAAGACACTTCAGAGACCAGGGAATAAAGTCTATGTTTTATATCTTGAAGAAGAGTAGAATTGATAATCTATGTATTAAATGTCAACACGATTTTTTGATAAGGATGATGTACCTATTTTATTTTATATGGGTCCAAGATTTGTGGGGTTTAAATTTTGGAATTATTAGAGCGGGTGCACCTAAAATTTTGCAGACCCATTTTACATTTGAAGCAACCAATCACAGACTGTATAGTTTCTGATATATTTGGCATTTTACCAGTTTTTCTTTATGCAAAAGTTCGTATGATAACTTTCTGGGGCTGAATTATAAAAAAAGGTAAAGAGTTAACAATTTCTGATCATCTTTATGATTTATCATTTATAAACTTAAATAACAATGATTTTGAAAGTAAATGGTTTATTTATATAAAAAATGTTTAGATAACTGTATGATATCAAATATATTGGATATGCAGTTTGCTGACAAATGGGTTTAAAATATTTTGAACAAAAACTTAAAGATCAGTTCACACAACTATGTTTGTCACAAAAAGATAGTTTACATAAATGCATATGTTACAGAATTTAAAGACTTATTTGAAATTTAAGAAGTATCTCAACGTACTAACTAATAGTTTATCATTTGTATACTGCAAACAACTGTTATACAAATGGGAGGTTTATTTAGCTATAAATCAGGTTTAACCCACCATTTTCTTCGGAAAATGCTTGTACCAAAACAGGAATATGACAAATCAAACGTTATCAATCAATGCATATGGAACACGTGAAAAACAACTGCAATATTCCTAACTTGGTACATGTACATGTATTTTCCGAAGAAATGTTGGTTTAAATCTGGTGTATAGCTAGCTAAACCTCCAACTTGTATGGCAGTTGTTTAAAGTTCCGTTATATTGAAAAATTGGAAGAGCAACCCAAACAAACATCATAGGTCAATGTGACAATAATTGGGACCCACCAGCCAAAACTGTGTAAACATACATCACAGACACACAACTGAACTGGCTAAAAAAAATCAAACAAACATACAGCATGTACAGATTAATCTAACAGAGACGCAAAAAAAAAAAAAATAGAACAGTTTATAATATTCAAAGCCATGTAATTTTTATTTCCGGTTCAGGCTGTTTCAGTTTAGTGAATATATGACCAATCCGTCAAGTTTCAATACAACTTAAAACTTACCTAATAGTTGGGCATCAGACAATCATGAAACACTTATAATCACTTGCGGTATCTTTTTCTGAAATAAGTGTTTTCATCTCGTTGACGTAAATTGCTCAAGCACATGTATATCACAATTTTAATACCGCACTTTACGTACCTTTATTGCAATATTTCATGTATTCATAACCAGGGTTACAGACCGTTGTGTTATCACATAAACCATCAACATGATCACACATATGAGATAAACATCCTCCACAAAACTCCGAACAGTTGGTCCCAAATTGACCTTTACGACATTCTGAAAATTGATGAAATGTAAAATCAGTACATATAAAAAAAGAGCATGTTTTCAAGTCATGGAACACTACATTTTCCGGGTTTTTACAATATTTAAATCTTTCCATTTCATATTTGTTTTTTTTCATATCATTTATTTTATATAAGTTCTCGAAATACCGTTAGGTCAAGTTACAGTATATAGGCTATGTCATAGTCGGTGACCATTTGATTATTTCATATCATTAAAACGGAAATTTATGAATCAACAACATATAGTTTTTTAAGAAAAATCTATGTATTTGAAATCGGAGATTTGATGGTATAAAGACAAATTTAAGAACGATTTTCGCTTATTTTATGTGCTTTCTATACAAATGCTCACCTATTTTACACGAATACGGAAATATTTCAGACAATAAAAGAGCTAGAAAAATGTATTATTTTTTCGATTTTCAGTTATAGTTCAACGAGCCAAAGATGTATGCAAAATTTTACCAAAATCAGGGATATAGCCTCTTTACTGTTCTTTGCCCATAATTTCCTGAAATTGCTTAATTATATTACTTATCTACCGGAAAATCTTTTAGCACATTCTGATTAACAACATAACTCTCTTTTTTATAGTCCAATTAAAGTTAATGTTATGCAATTCATTGATCTCATTATCAAAAATTTCGTTAAGTAACAAAACAGAAATTTGATAGATAAAAAGATGTTAAATGGAAAAAAAGAAACAAACTTTGAGTACAATTGAATCCTTGCCATCCGTCTGTACATCCAATGCTGCATTCACCAGTCACATGATTACATTGTTGATTTAAACAGTTTTCTGAACATTCCTCGAGACAGTCTTTGCCGTACTTGCCGACATCACATGCTGTAATATACAATCGTTAAAAATAGCAAAAAAGATTACGTACACATGTTTATAATATGCTTAAAGGAAGAACATTTACCTTTTTTAAATATATATATATGCGAACAGAACGTGTTTATATATGAAAAAAAATCATCAAAAAGGGAGAAACAATGGACAAATTTATTATTCGGCTAAGAAACCCTCGATCGTGATACAAACCAAACAAATACTGCCCCCTCACAAGACATCTTCGCTCAAAGAAACATCTTTTTGATAATGTTACTATCCAAATCATAGAAGTGAACACTGAGAGGAACACCACGGCAAGAAGGAGAAGAGAAAATTGTTTGATCCACCAGCTGCATACTCTAGAACCTGATAGGCTTAATGAAAAAAACGAAAAAAGATACAGGTAAGATAAAGAATAATCAATTATACAGCATCGTCCTTTATATCTCTGTAATATTAGCAAACGGACGTTGCAAACTTCAACCAGAAATTTTGTAATTTGATAAATAATTAAACTTTGAATTATTTACAACGCAGCTTCCATGTACAATGAGCTTCAAAAGTTTCTTATCTTCATCCGATTTCACATGGATAGATGCACGCTTGATGAAGCTAGTTTGTCTAGTGAAACATTACGTTTATTTTTTTATTGCATTGTAAATATGTTTTACATTTTAATATTTACATACTAAATAGTGTGTTAAAATTACATTATTAGGCATTTGTGTAATCGTATTAATCTGTGTACTGATTAATCCACACTCAAATAGATTTGTATTTCATGTGTTGCTATTTATTGGCACTTATATATACATATTAATTATGGTGTTAGCCATGTATAACCACAGGTTTTCCGATGGAGAACGTCTGTCGAAAAGTTGTCACATATTAAGACGAACATTATAAAATAAAGATTTGATGAGACGGCATGACAGGTAAAATGATCTTTTACGACAGACAAACAATAGCTGATCTGCAAGGTATACCATCTACTTGCCACTTTACATCATATACTGTGTTACAAACCTAGATAAAGCCAACAAGGAAAGGCATTACTCGACTATCGAACGCTATATCTTAATAGCCTAATTGGTTGAGTGGGTTAGGGCGCTACACACAGTACTGGCAGTGTTTTAACCATGTCTCAGATGCAGGGGTTCGAATCGAAATATGCTAATGGTAATTTGCGGATCTAACCTTGTTGGGCTAAATTTGAGACTTAGTATATATTAATTATGGTGTTAGCCCTGTATAACCACAGATTATCCGATAGGGAACGTGTGTCGTAAAGTTGTCACATATTTAGACGTATATATAAATGTCTAAAAATAGCAACAATCAACAGTCAATCTATCTAGGCGTGGATCAGTTTGAAAATAAACTGATGCAGTTACTCATTAAATTATATTATGCCTAAGAATACAACTTTGTTTAGGGAAAGATTGCTTGAATATTTAAAATAAAGCAACATTTTTTATAACACTCAATAGCGTGTTAAAGTTACATTATTATGAATACATATATATGCACAGTATCAAAGAATGTTTTCAGGTTATTGAATGTCTAATGTACTCAGCCTGCGGTCATGAAATTATGCCGTCACTTATTTTTATATCGGTGAGTGTATATAACAGTAAATATCTCGTCAATTGGTGTTCATCACACTGAATAACGGACGCGGTTATTGTCAACAACCCAAACGCAATATAATTCTTATCTTTACCAGAAAGTTTATAAAGCTAAAAGTCGTGTAATCGACCATGTTATTGTTGGCTTTGACAATATTCTATTCTTTAAATGCCGGGTGTTAAATGCCAATTTGAAAAAAAATTATTCCTGCAGAATGAATTCAACTTCCATGATAACTATTAGTCGTATATGTTTGATTAAATGAAATAAACTTTATAAACAAATTTTCAAAATCTGTATTCCTGATATAAAAGGGTTTTAATAACAAAACTAATAGGTTTGTTGCCATCTAAGACATCACAGTTTACATATGCATCTCAAACAACAGATCATTGTCACCGAGAAAATGAAATTGTATAATAGGAAAGCAAAAACTAAATTTTCCGTTTGGTAGGAAGTGTAATAGGGCATTTTAGTAAACGGAAATCCGCACTCTTTTCTTAAAAGCGTGAGTTGGGACTAATTAGATTTGGATATAGAATTGAGAATGGAAATGGGGAATGTGTCAAAGAGACAACAACCCGATCAGAAAACAGCCGAAGGCCACCAATGGGTCTTCAACACAGCGAGAAAATCCCGCCCCCAGAGGCGGGCTTCAGCTTGCCCCTAAAAAAAATTGTGTACTAGTTCAGTGAAAATGGATGTCATACTAAATTCCAAAACATATAAATGAACTAAAATTAAAAATCATACAAGACTAACAAAGGCAAGAGGCTCCTGACTTGGGACAGGCGCAATAATGCGGCGGGGTTAAAAATGTTTTGTGAGATTTCAACCCTCCCCCTATACCTCTATCCAATGTAGAAAAAAACAAACACACAACAATACGCACAGTAAAACTCAGTATAAAAGAAGTCCGAGTCCGATGTCAGAATAGGTAACAAAAGAAACTAAGCAAAATGTCAATGATACATAAATTAACAAAGGACTACTAGCAGTTACTGACATGCCAGCTCCAGACCTCAATTAAACTGATTGAAAGAGTATGTCTTCATCATATGAAAATCAAGTACAATCCCTCGCGTTAGGGGTTTAGTATCATACCATCATAAAATATATGAGAAGAACATAACCCGTATCATGCCAACAACTGGTTTTAGAATAAATGTGTTTATATCCGATGCAAAGGCCCTATGAGTGAATCAATATTAATACCTAAATATGCCATCTTTAATGACCTGACAACAGTATCGTACCTATATGCATTCTGAATAAGTCTGTTTAAAGGTTTGGTTAGCTTTATGGGTGAATGCAGATACTGTTGTGCTTTGTAAAGAATATTACCATAAAAGATTGGATCTGAAATACCTGAACGTATAAGATGTCTGCATGTTGATTTATATTTACGAATGATGTCCTTGTACCGATGATAAAATTTAGTAAATGTTTTTGACTAGTTTTTGATATCGAAGATGTCGAAAACCCTGGTGTAATAATTTTTCAGTAATACAGAGATTTATTTCGTTAAAATCAAATACGTTGTAACATACACTAGCGAATCGAACAAGTTGAGATATGTAAACACCATTAGATGGTGACAAGGGAAAGTTACCATCTAAAAATGGATAATTAACAATAGGAAATGAAAAATCATCTCTTTTATCATAAGTTTTGGTATTAAGCTTCCCGTTGAAGATATAAATATCAAGATCCAGGAAAGGGCAGTATTCATTGTTAGTATTAGCTTTATTCAAAGTCAGTTCAGCAGGATAAATCCATTTAGGGCACATACTCAAGTCGTCACTATTGAGAGCCAAAATATCATCCAAATATCTAAAAGTGTTATTAAATTTTTGTATCAGTTGTTTTGATAGGTTTGATGGGTCTTTGCTGATTTTAGTCATAAATTGTAACTCATAACAATACAGAAACAAGTCCGCAATAAGTGTTGCACAGTTAGTCCCCATTGAAATTCGGATAACTTAACGATATACGGAATCTCCATAGCGAACAAAAATGTTATGTAATAAAAATTCAAGGGCAGTTATAGTATCAAAGCAGGTCCAATTGACATAGTTCTTTTGTTTGTTGTGACAAAAAAAATGACCTAAAAGAGTTTGAACATATCTATTCGCATTCTGAATTTTTTCGTAATAAGATTATGAGGCAAAGTGGTATATAGGGTAGAAAAATCAAAACTTTGAACAGATTCGAAATCACCAATATAAGCATGCATATTTATGAAATATTGACTGTGCAAAGACTTAGACTTTCAGAATACCGATTACTTCACGATATGCTCTATCTCCAAACCAATACGATTATAATCGATGAAAACCTCATAAAAAATGAATGGATTTTTTGTTAGTTTCATAATTGAAAAAGAATCAATACACCGACAACAATAGAGATGCCGTACATATATCGAATAACCATTTTATTTAATAGAAAATGTCTGGTAGAATTATTCTTAGTTGAATAATTAGTTTATGCAGAAATAGAACGAAATTTGCAATGTGTTTTGTGTGATTTGAGAAGACAGGACACAGCTGAAACTTTGATATGTTCAGTTGAAGCCTGTAAATCAGTCGGTTTTCAAACGTGTTATATAAGATATTTTCTGGAGTATTATTTATACAATGAAGGTATGAATAATTGGATGTGTGATCTTAATCCATTTTTATATATCGGTACCATGACGTTGTCAGTTCTTTTTTGACTTATTAGTCTGAATGTCTCTTTTGTATCTTTCACCTCTCCTTTATAGTACTATGTCAAACTGAGATAACGTTGTTGATCTCTTTGTCATCGGATAATAACACACAACGCTTTCTGAGAGAATTCAAGGTCTTAATTTTGCTAGCTTTGCGTAATGCTCGTTGTCTTACAAATTGTCTTAAAATGTATTATATCCAAATTTTAACCCTGGTAGTGGAGATTGCTGTAACTTCTATATATTTGCCAAAACGCTTGTAGATAACTGTTCTGGCGGAAGATGATCCAAGATTGTATGTTGTAGGAACAGTCATATTTAATTTTGCTTACTACCTAAAACCTTTTAATGAACATTTAGGCCCTAAAGACGTTAACCTGTCATGAGCCAGCGTTATTGGATATTGTTATCATTCTTATCTTATTGTCAAGGGTTTCGTGCTGCCCAATCTTTTACTTTCCGGTTAAAAATTTGTTGCCATGTTATTTGATTTTTGTTTCTACTGATTAATACTTTTTTCATTGTCGCAGCTGCTAGAATACCTTAGTGTTGTAAAAAGATTAAAATTTAATTGATGTTGTTTTCCTAAATTGTAAAATAACTGAATCAATGCGATCAAAAATCCAATATAATTATTATTATGTAAATATATGTTTTATACCTTGTTCACATTTATTACCAGTCCACCCGTTTGAACATCCAAATGTACAATTCCCGGATTCAAGGTTACATGGTCCTTGACAGTTTTGCGGACAAGAGTAAGTACAAACAGGACCATAGTGTGTAGGCGGACAACCTAAAAAGTAGTCAAAATAATTCATCGTACTTAATTAGATAAAATTTTCTAACTAGCTGTTCATCAAAGGAATTGTTGTTTAAGTAGTTTAACTTTTAAATATTTCGAGTTAGACATATATGTAGTTTTAGTTGATATGTTTGACAAAGCATACTCCAAAGGTCAATATTTCATTAATGCAAATAAATATTGTTTATGTTATTGTACAAATTATCAAACTTTATATCTGATATTATAGAAATAAAAAGTATATTCGTTCTTTCGAAGAAAACGACATTCGATTCATCAACTAACCAACCATCACTTGTTAAATAATTCATCAGCATACTATTAACGTGAATATTGTCGCGGTGTCAATGCATTGTTTTTTTTTTTTTGGGGGGGGGGGGGAGGCATTCAACTAAAAGGTTGTGTTTTGACTTTTGAAACAATGTAGAATTTCCTTAGTGCATAAGTGACATATACTAGTCAACAAAAGAAACGATACAAGGCAATGTATATTCCATATTTGATAAAATATGATACACTGTACAAAGGTTAATAATTGGCAAATTGTTCTAATATCTACAGAGTGTTATTTTCTTATCAAAACCATCAATTTAAGACAAATACGCGTACTTTTTTTCTTCAATTTTTGTTATTTCAAAAAACGTATTTTCACCCAAAAATTAAAAAATCGATATTCGAACTAAAACTTTAAACCTAAACATGGTCTGCCTAAAATTTTGATTGCCTTTGCTGATATTTGCATACTTAATTCTCATCTTCGAAATTAAGTGTCGACTTTTGTCATCGTTTTTCGCAAAATAAATTTGACCTCTGTGTTCAATAACACAGTATTTTCTCACTTTCCAATTTGGTCAGATTTTTTTATTCATATGCATTTGCTTTGCAAATGTATGTTTTTCATTGGATGATTTAACAGTTTTTCCTATTTATTATATTTTATGATAAATTGGAGTTCAAACTTGTGTATCGTTACTTTTATTGACGAGTATATATACATTTGATATGTAAACATCGTCAAATCTTAATGTTCTGCTTTGATAAAACACTCACCAATAACCCCAATTTCACATATTTCAAGCACAAAAAATGGATCCTGAGTTGGAGGTACATAAGTCAAGAATCTTAAAACAGCAAAGAAGTTGATTTCAGTAGGCAACGTTTTTCCATCGTATAAAACAGTTCCAGTTTCCCAGGAAGAGCTAGTATTCGAAGCATAAACGGTATGATTATCCTCTGTTGGAGTGTGTTCTAAAATGAGATCATTACTATAGACTAACAGTACATATGAACTGATAATACGTATTGATTCGTTTGGGGGGGGGGGAATAAGAATACAATAAATCACATATTGGTCAGTTAAAAAACAATTAAATTCTGCTTTGTTTTTGATTGCAACAATTTTATTAATCATACATTAAAGGATAATCATTAGAGAGAGAGGGGAAAACACAGTAGGCGCATGGAAATATTATATCACACCAAGTTGTAGCAAAGTTTGTTGCTACAGACGCCCAAGACAACAGAAGTGATAACTTGGTATCGCTACAGATTCGCAGTCAGACGACAGAATACGGTAATGATCTTTAGAACAAAGCTGACACAAAGGGGACAATACAAATATTGACTCGAAAACGGTTAAAACCAAAGACAAAAAACAAACACAAGGGAATAGTAGTTTACCAATGTTTTATGTCTAATTAAGCAATTGAGAAGATGCAAATCAAGATACTGAAGGAAACTGTAAAAAACTGAATGAATCGCATGAACTCTTAAAGAAGTAGGATCTAGTGCGTCGACAGGGTAAGGATCGGTAATAAAAAAGTGGTCTGATATCTAAAGATCTATTGCTAGTGTGTTGAGACACAAACATATTTTACCACCTCTTTTAAACAACTACTAGGGGGTGTTTAGCGACCTTGATTACACATGAGGGTCTAGCACGGTCGGCTTTTAAACAAGAGAGGAACTCAGGTGGTAATTCCTGTTGCACAAATGACATATTTGTTGCTCACTGCAATATGATCAAGTGAAAACCATGATAGAAAACACAAGCTATGTGATGGTATATGAATGTAGTGATACATACGTTTCTGTTTAAGTACTGTTTTTTTTTCTTTCTCAAAGATGGACTGTTTATCATGGTAAATTGTTGTCATCGTATGCTAGTATTGGTTTGCTGTCAAACGTTGCTTTCGGTCGAGTAGTAGGTTTATGTTTTTGTTTTTATGTTTGAGTATGGAAAATTAAAAAAGCTGGCTGTAAACTATGCTTTCGTTTTTTTCGTCTCAATTCCAATTTTTGTAACTACTAATTATGTTCTATCCCAGGTTTGATTATCTTAGCAGTTTTTGGCAAAACCTATCGGAGTTTTGGGTCCTCAGTGATCTTCAACTTCGTATTTATTTAGTCGTTTTAACATTTTTTAATCAAGTGTCACTGATTAGTCTTTTGTAGACGAAACGCGCATCTGGCGTACTGTAATGTTTCACTTTCAATGTTGACATTATTTTCCTTTTAATAACTGGACACGCATAGTTCATGTGAAATCCATTTCTAGCTAAGTGGTTAAATTGAAGGGCACATAAATACGGATTCAATGAGGTCGAATTATTCACTTGCAAGTGAATAATTCATCATCTATGTTTCTTAGCTTATTTTGACAAAATTGAGCCATACTGACTGCTAAAAGAATATTTTTTTTTTACTATTTCACTTTCATTAATGATTGAACAAAAAAAAACATTTTTTGAATTTTTTACATATCTCGTAGGTAGTGCCCCTTTAAAAGTGTAGAAAATAATACGAGCTGCTTTATTTTTCTTATATTTTTCTTATATCAGAGGAACATTGATTGATTACACGAAACTCCGATTTACCAAAATATATGACTATCCTAATGCATTTCTACTTTTTGAGCAATGGTTTAGTCTGAAATTTAACTGAAAGACTGAATTCGGACACTACTTAATTATTTATTAATCAGTTCTATAAGAGCTCTTCAGAAAACAAATACCGTTTTAGATCAAAATCGGTTAACTAGTTGTTATGATCTATCGATGTTAAAACCTCGTAATGTGAGTAGGAAGAGACCGGGTGTGTCTACGTGGCTAGCAACACTGCTATGCATTCATCACCGCAATTCGAATTCACTCTGACAAAATTTCACAATTGGGAATAGGACGTAATCGGTAAAATTACAGATCAGACCACTAAACTTGTACATGTATCTGAAGATCCTAGACCACAAAAAAACATGTCGCTAGTGAGTGACGGACACATCATATTGGTCAACCTAACGTGTGATGTCGACCGTAAAACATATGTATTATTAATTTTAATCGTTCTTCCTCGTAACTCTATTAAAGCAGTTTGTGTGAGCAACGCCCTTCTGTTACTAAAGTATATATAGCGTGAACATTCACGTGTGTAACGTGTTAACAGAGGTATGTAAACGCCATACGATAGAGTAGAAATTTGAATTTGACACTTTGAAAGTTGAAAAAATCATTTAGTCATAAATTCTAATTTGGTTGGTCCATCCGTGTCAATCTCAAGTTCACCAGGAAATATGAGATGTAAGCACCCATTGAAATGTGGGCTATCAAGTGACAGAACATGATAAATATACCAGAACGAGTGAAATTAAGGAACTTTGAAAAAGACGTTTTGTCTTAGAGACGGGTCCGTTAAAAAATTCTACTTCATATGCGTACAAAAACAAGTCGGCAGACAATTAATACCAATCGGAACGGACTGTTTGCTGAATTATTCATCAACCGTACTCCAAAAATTCTGATATGCAGTGATTGTTATTGTTTCATCACTGTAATATTTGTTTTTCGTACTTTTTTTGTTATAAATTAGGTCGTTAGTTTTTTCGTTTGAATTATTTTACATTTGATACATGTTCGGGCCCTTTAAAATTGACTCTATGGTATATATGTTTCTCATTGTTGAAGGCCGTACGGTGACCTATAATTACTTAAATATGAACTCTGGTGGATAGGTATCTCATAATTTTTTTATTAATATTTGTGGATAAAAAAGTCCAGCATTTTGATAATATCGTCTTAGTTGCATTTGTTTTGGGAATTAATTTTGATTTTTACAACAGGCTGTTTTTATTGGGACAATGTAGGCGATCTTTCGATTGATTATGGGAAATAGAAGTGTAAAGCACAGGCTGTCCTCTTTACCGCTAATAATGGGACTTTTAAAACGTTTTCCTATGTTATATTTTAATTTTAATGTGATTGAGAGAGTTCATTTAAAGTTTACCACTGTTATGTGAGAAGATAATTGAAAATAAAATAATAAAGAAATTATATAAATCAAAAGTCGTGGAGGGAAAAGACAACACCATGGCGAAATTTAGATTAAAACACATGCAGTTCACAAATTATTGCACAACATCCAGTGTTTCTGCACTGGGCATGCCTTTACTGAATGAAATATATTCTTTATCACAGCTGTCCATAGTACATGTCATGATTTCTATGTCATCTGTGTCAGTACTTTGAACTTGCTTGCAAACTTTGATTTGAAGTTTGGGTATTAAAAAGTTGTGCCTTTGTATTTGCTGTTCATGAAAAATAATGGTTACTCCAAATACAACACAATATATACCTTAGCATGAAGCTTTTAATTTATTTGACCTTCTTAACTTTTTTTGTTTCGACAGTCACTGATGAGTCTTTTGTAGACGAAACGCGCGTCTGGCGTAATGTTTAATCCTGGTATCTATGAAGAATTTATTTACATTTTGTACGTCAAAAACAGATAACGAAATTTATCCGTGCACTTTACTTTTTGATAAACAAAGTATAAGCTCTTCTTAAATAGTTCCAAAAATGAAATGAATAGTTCGAATTTTAAAAGCGTTGGTGCAGAGTGTTACTTAAATATAAAACGTACATACAAAATGCAAATTATTCGCTTGAAAATATGTTATGTGTTTTGTCCTAAATGATGGTATTTATCGTGCCTTTTATAGCTGACTACATTCATACGGTATGATGTTTGCTCATTGTTGAAGGTCGTACTATAGTTGTTTAAATCCGCTTCATTAAGACTCATTTGGAGCTGTTTTAGTTTTTGCAACCTTAGGCGTTACTCTGTGTTTGACGGTTACTTGACTGATCGGTGAATGATCGGTGACGGATGTTTGACTGATCGATGAACGATCGGTGATCGATGATTCATAGAATCTGTCAGATACGTCAAATAAGCTACGTGAGAGTTACCGTGACAACATTCAGCGATCGATCAGTCAAATAATCGGACGGAAGCATATATGATTAATATTCGTATGTGAAACGAAATCCCCATTAATAACGTGCGACAAACGCAGACCTCTACGAAGACACCTATCGCAATAATATCAAAAATATATAAATTAATAACATTTAACGCATTTTATGTTATTTTTTCCTTATTGTTTTATTTCTTTATTTTTCTTCTATATAAATAGCATAATTACCGAATAATGTCATGCTTTTTTTTCTGTATCAACACAAAGAGATACAATGTTCTCATTTGAAATAAGTACCCTATTTAGCAAACCTGCATTTTTAGGCCACTAGATGAGTTAGTTTTGATAAAAGTAAATAATGAAATAGTAAAGATACCTAAAACTTTGTTTGTGTCGATTAAGAGTGCAATTATTTCTTTAGTTTAATGAAAAATATAAACCACCATTGGTTTTTAGCACTTTTCTTTACACCAGGATGGTTTCTTTTTCATAAAATATGCTAGACATATGAGATAAGTTACAACATTTTGTTCACATTTACAAAAAAAAAGCCAATATGTCTTCTTATCATAAAAATCAATGCACTTTTAAGTGCAACCAGTCTTTTCAAATGCCCCTGGATGCGTGTTTTTTTTTTATAACATTTGAATAATCTAAGGATAACGATGCCTAAACTTATGTGAGTTTTAACAAAGAATGCAATTATTTCGTTATTTTAATGGAAATCATAAACCGTCATAAGTGTTTAGTATTTTTTGTACATCAGGATTGTTTTTTTGTTTTTATAAAATATGATGAATATAAGAGAAAGATACTAAAATTGTGTTTGAATTGTTTGAAAATGTCAAGATTTCTTTTTTTATCCGGAAAAATGCAATGCTATTTGCAATCAGTCATTTGTATGGCTTCTGAATAAGTTAATTTTGTATAAAATTTAAATATCTTAAGGATAAAAATGCTTAATACCTATATGTGTGTTGAATAATTGTCCAATAAT